TTTAATTTATTATATAAATATGTACATATGTATATTTTTTATTTATTTGGGCTTTAAGTATGAGAAAAAGCTTTTTTTAACAAACTGCATAATTTTTATTTGCTTGCACAGCGATAAACACCAAAGACTGTGTAAATGTTGGTTAGAAGCGATTTTTATGTATTCTCGCTACGCTAATACGTTAGATTGTAAACTTAGCCTAATACTGAAATTCAGATGGACGCCATATTAAAGCTGTATGACTATTATTTAATTAATTTAACAATTTCATTATGTACATTGGCTCAACTATGCCACTTTATGTGTATTTTCGAACCTTTTTTAAACAGCGCATCTCTTAAAAATTTAATAATGGCGAAAAATTCATTGCTTTCAAAATATAAGTTTTCCCAGATTTATTTAAAAATCTTCAAATCCTTATAAATTTTGGGGCGCTCGAGTATTAGAGGGGGTAGTACCGAAATTCACTCGACAGAATGTACCTCGTTTTTAAATTTGGAACTCACATTCATATATATTCGGGATTTTCTTGCCTGCATATTACGAAAAGGAATGCTGAGATTTATAAAAAGAATTCCAAGTCGCGCAGATTAAAAAAGAGCTTCGGTGTAAATTTTATGACTGAGTTAATTTTAAATTTGATTAGTAGTAAATTTTATTCCTCGAATCCTTTTGTACTCTTCACACTCATGAAAATATATTTATGCTAGAATATGATGTAAATTCTTTACCATTACGGTGTATGATTTGAGCCAATACCAATACGTATTTTACACCAACGGAGTTTATATTATGTTCTAGAAACAAGAAAACTTGTATACCACTGGCATAATATATATGCCGAAAATCGTAAAAAAAAATTGACGGTAGGTGTAAATAATGCACGAAAAAACGGTGTAACTTTTACACCGAATCGAAATAAACTGTTCAAAAACTGCGCTTAGAAATAGCATATTTTTTATATTGAAAATGTATATCACGCCGATGTAAAAAATACACAAAATATTTTGGTGTATTTTTGACTTTTGTGCTACTTGAGACTTTCACTTCACTCCATGTTGTTGGTATGTGAGCAAGTAAGAGACTTGCTCTCAGCAATCTAACTACTGGTCCAGATATTAAGCCCAAGCTCTGCTGCAGCAGGCATGGGTTGATACCATCTGGACCAGGGGATTTATATGCACTAAAGGTTGAAATGGACCACGATATCTTTTCAACACTGACGATTTTTCCTGCTAGGCCTCTGGTNAACACTGACGATTTTTCTTGCTAGGCCTCTGGTCCTCCTGCTTGCACACACAGCGTTCGCCATGTTTGTTGAAAGACATGTGCCTTGGGGAAAAGATCCCGGGAAGTGGGTTTCTAACAGAAGCCTGCTGATTTCTTCCGGGGTGCCAGTGTAGGTACCATCTGGTCTTTTCAAAGTGCATAGGACTTTCAGATGATCTAGTTTAAGGGCGTACTGAAGGCGATGCACCTCTTGAAGAGAGGAAATACTTCCGCAGTACTCACGCCACGTAGTCCTTTTAGAGCTTCTGAGCTCACAGTTGTAAGCGGTTAGGGCTGACTTGTAGGCGCTCCAGTCACCTGTTGACTTTGCCCTATTGAAAAGTTTCCTGGCTCTTTTCCTAAGTTTTCCGAGAGAATCGTTCAACCAAGGGACATCCCTTTGAGACTTCTTGGTTCTCAGTGGGCAACTCTCTTCAAAACCTTGTTTGAGGACATCTTGGAACTTTCTCGCCTCGTCCTCAAGTTCATAGACAGATGAAATTGGTGCCGTAGAACCATTCACTTCCCGCTCTATGTGGAGGCGAAAGAGTTCCCAGTTTGTTTTTCTGGGATTTCTGTAAACATGGTTTGTCACTCTTTGGGCTTCTATATCGAATCGAATATGCCGGTGGTCCGACATAGATTCCTCATTTGAGACATGCCAGTTTGAGATAAAGGTCGACAAGCTAGTTGAGGAAATTGTCAAGTCTAGAACCTCCCCTCTTATAGCATTGATAAAGGTCGGCTCATTACCCCGGTTAAGAATAAATAAATTGTTCTTAGTGATAAATTCAAGAAATGACTCACCTCTAGAATTGGTGTCCGAGCTACCCCAAACACAGTGATGGGCATTGGCGTCACAGCTCATTACTAGTTTCAGCTTTCTCCTTCTGCAGTACTCCTCTAGGGCTATTACTTCCCTTGTGGGCATCTCACAGCTGTCGCCTGGGAGGTAAGCTGAAGCGAGAACGACCTCTTGTTCTCCCATTTGAGTGGGCACTTTAGTCCATACAGCAGCTAAGTCCTGTTGTGTCGACTCTGAAAGGGGAAAAAAGTCATGTTATTACGTAGTAATATAGCCGCTCTGGGCCTGCAGTGTGTGGTATCGTAAATTATCATTACCATCACAGTCCTTTAGGCCTTTAATAGCCCCGACGAAAACCCACGGTTCTTGGATGAATGCGAAATCCATAATTGACTAGGTATCCCAGCCTGTCGAGTGTCTCCGCTGAGTGCGGGTCAACCGCTAGAGTGAGCTCAGTGGTGGGTCCTTTCTGTACCCTGTTGAGCATCTTCCAGCTACCTACCCGCAGCCCTTCGTTCTGACCCTCGACAAGGCCAAGGATACTGTCCACTGGAGTGGTTGATGGCTCCGGAAAGTACTCAACGTAGACACTGGGTTTGGGCACGTCAGTGGCATTCATTGGCACAATTTCTGCGCCCTTCCAAGGTTTCAGGGTTTGGGATACCTTGCGCAGCCACTCCAGCATTTCAGCGTCTTCGCAGCCAATTGACATCCATCCCGGACGGAAGGTGTAACCGCTAAACTTGGGCTTCACAGAGCCCTTTTGCTGTCGCCTCAACTCCTCCAGGATGGGCGCCTGAATGGCCTGTAGTTGGTCTAAGGACCAAAGTGCTTTAGGGTACCCTTCAGAGAGTAACCCTAACCGAACCCCATTACCAATGTCCGCCTGACAGGTCGGAGCCTTTGTGACATCGGCAAAAGTTGCCTTGACACTAGGTTCCTTTGGTGCCATATCGGCACTTTTGTCAGCTGGACCTGGTTTCCATTTGGGGAGAGTTCTCCACCGGGGAAGATGTAAGGTTCACCGATCGGTTCCTCTTAATCTTTGTGCCAACCGGCAAAGCCAGTTCGGCCTTTCCTTTTGCCATCGGAATAATGGCTAGCCGTTTGGCATCACTTTCGCTGACACCTCGGGAGAGGTAGGATATGTAGCGCTTTTTACCTGCTCTAGAGAGTTTTCTTTTTGGAGTACTAGCTTCCTCCTGCTGTGACGATAAGAGCGCCTCCTCCTCGTCTGTGGGTATTTGGATGTCGTTGCCATTTGAACCAGAGCCCATGTTGGCAATATCGACATCCATGGCCACCGGGTTGCTGAGAAGGCCGTTTGGATCAAAGTCCATTTCGTCCATTAGAGCGTATCGAGAGGGTTGAGCGCCTTGGCCGTTTGGATTTGCACCCAGTTCGTCCGCTGCGATCGTCATTTGTTCAGCAATCTCGCTGGGCATCCCGTGCACCTTTGAGACTGCTGACTGTTGCCCACTGTT